TCCTGATCGGATCCCCACTGGTGTTCTTTGTACCACCTCCACCTGAGCCCCTCTGGCTCCCCTCATGCCTCTCCTCCCACCTGTCTTCCCCTGCAGGATTTTGTGTTGCTGAAAGAGCGGACCCTGGATGAGGCACCCCGGCCTCCTAAGAAGGCCATGGACTATTCATCATCCAGTGAGGAGGTGGAAAGTAGTGAAGAAGATGAGGAAGAAGGTGATGGTGAACCACCAGAGGGCAGCAGAGACACCCCTGGTGGCCGGTAAGGGGTGCCCTAGGGGCAGAGGCCTCCCACATGGGAGAACAAGGAGAGGAAAGCTGCTGGCAGAGGGGAGAACAGGCTGTGACAGATCTGAGGGAAAGTGGTTCCCATTCTCTAGCGAATGGGGTAAAGTACTGGCTTCTGCCTGTCCATAGTTCTGTTAGTTGTGGGGGATCCTTTCAGGGGTCCCCCTGCCTCTACACCAGTGTACCCTGAGTGCCAAGCAGGGAATACCTCACCTTAGGGCAGAGAAGACTGCATTTCAAAGAGACTGAAAGCCCAAGTCTCTGCCTATCATCTGCTTCCTGTGGCATCTATGTGGCAGGCAGGATCTGGAGGACCCCTCACCCCCTTTCTCTCACAGCAGCGATGGAGACACAGACAGTGTCAGCACCATGGTGGTTCACGACGTTGAGGAGATGGCTGGGACCCAGCCCCCATATGGGGGTGGCACTATGGTAGTTCAGAGGGTGAGTAGGCCTTCCTGCCCATGCCCATGCCTGTGGTGTCCTTCCATGGCTCCCATGCCGACCCTTCCCTCTGTTCTGCAGACTCCTGAAGAGGAGCGAAGCTTGCTGCATGCTGACAGCAATGGCTACACAAACCTGCCAGATGTGGTCCAGCCCAGTCACTCGCCCACCGAGAACAGCAAAGGCCAGAGTTCCCCCTTAAAGGATGCAGGCAGTGATGTAAGTGAACTGGAGCAGGTCCACAGGGTGAGAAGACACCTAAGAGTGGGCAGGAGTGCTGGGCTTGCTGGGGCATTGTGGTAGATGGACAGGGCCCTGTGAGCTCAGTGGGAATCTGGGAACAATGGAGGGGTAGGGCCATGGTCTGGGGTCATTATTTGCCTGACTGTTGTTCCCTGCTCCCACAGTATCAGTCTCGTGGACTGGTAAAGGCCACTGGCAAGAGCTCATTCACCATGTTTGTGGATCTAGGGATCTACCAGCCTGGAGGCAGTGGAGATACCATCCCCATCACAGGTGAGGACAGGACAGACCTGCCATGAGGCAGGAGTCCAGGGATGGCCTGGAGGGGAGCACAGTTGCCTCTGAGTACATAGCTTTACAAAGCACAAAGGCCCTCTTGACACAGGTACAAGGGAGGAATTCTGAGACACTAAACAAACAGAGGGGGCAAATGCTCAGTGGGTAAGGGAATTGAGCAAAAGTTTAAAACTGATAAGTGAGGAAGCCAAGACTTGAGCCAGGGCACTCTGTTGTCTGTCTTTCCCTTCCCTTCTGGATATTAGGAGGCACCAAGACCAGATGTAGGGGAACAGGGGTAAAAAGACAGCTGAGAGGGCTGGGCACTGCTGGGTCATGCCTGTAATCCTAGCTCCTTGGGAGGCTGAAATTGGGAGGGTCATGGTTCAAAGTCAACATGGGCAAATAGTTCACAAGACCCTATCTCCAAAACTAGTCAGAACAAAATAGATTGGAGGTATGGCTCAAGTGGTAGAGCACCTGCTTTGTAAGTGCAAAGCCCTGAGTTTAAAAACAAACAAACAAACAAAAAAGGATGGCTGAGGCTGAGAGGGCTGCAACCCACCCTCCCTCCTGTTCCTCCTGGCAGCCCTGGTGGGTGGAGAAGGTGGTCGGCTTGATCAGCTGCAATATGATGTGAGGAAGGGCTCTGTGGTCAATGTGAATCCCACCAACACCCGGGCTCACAGTGAAACTCCTGAGATTCGGAAGTACAAGAAGCGATTCAACTCGGAGATCCTCTGTGCAGCCCTTTGGGGTAAGCTGGGAGTGGGCAAGTTGAAAGGGATCTGTCACAGCTCCTGTGCTCCTGGTCAGTGGAGGGCCCACCTCTGCCTCTGACGTGCCCAAGTGCTCCTGTTGCAGGGGTCAACCTGCTAGTGGGCACAGAGAATGGGCTGATGTTGCTGGACCGAAGCGGGCAAGGCAAGGTGTATGGACTCATTGGGCGGCGACGTTTCCAGCAAATGGATGTGCTGGAAGGGCTCAACTTGCTCATCACCATCTCAGGTATGTGTGTGGGGTACTGGGGGTGGGGGGGACTCAGCTCTTGGCTCCGTTACCACCTTCAGCCTGGGAGGAGGGCAGCCTTGGTCCAGGAGCCAGAAAGTGGGGTCACACTTTCTCATCCCTTGTGGTATGCAGACAGGATGGTGGGGAGGTGGCAGCTGGGCCTTCGATGAGGACGGGAGTGTGTGTGTGTGTGTGTGTGTGTGTGTGTATGTATGTGTGTCCGTCCCTCAGGGAAAAGGAACAAACTGCGGGTATATTACCTGTCCTGGCTTCGGAACAAGATTCTGCACAATGATCCAGAGGTGGAGAAGAAGCAAGGGTGGACCACCGTGGGAGACATGGAGGGCTGCGGGCACTACCGTGTTGGTAAGGATGTCACAAGAGAGTGGCCATGGAAAAACTGGGGACCTGGGCTAAATGCTGGAAAAGCTTGAAGCCCAATACTCGGGCCTGGGGTTGGGGAGGTGTGGTGACAGACCTAGGGCAGAAGGTGCCCAGAGCTTAAAAAGTGAAGTCCCTGCATCCTTCTTCTTTCCTATCCTCAGTAAAATATGAGCGTATTAAGTTCCTTGTCATTGCCCTGAAGAATTCCGTGGAGGTATATGCCTGGGCCCCCAAACCCTACCACAAATTCATGGCTTTCAAGGTAATCCCAGCATCAGCCCCCAACACCACTCCAAGGTCCTGCTTCTCTGCCTGCCCCCTCTGAGCCCTTCTGTCCTCCACAGTCCTTTGCTGACCTCCCTCACCGCCCTCTGTTGGTGGACCTGACAGTAGAGGAAGGACAGCGCCTCAAGGTCATCTATGGCTCCAGTGCCGGCTTCCATGCTGTGGATGTGGACTCGGGGAACAGCTACGATATTTACATCCCAGTGCATGTGAGCTTGGTGGGGCTTTGGGGAGAGTAGGACCACCAGTCAGGGTACCAGACATGAGGACCCCAGCCTACCTTCTTTTCCCCAGATCCAGAGCCAGATCACGCCCCATGCTATCATCTTCCTCCCCAACACTGATGGCATGGAGATGCTGCTGTGCTATGAAGACGAGGGTGTCTATGTCAACACATATGGGCGGATCATTAAGGATGTGGTGCTACAGTGGGGAGAGATGCCCACCTCTGTGGGTGAGTGATGGGCTGCCCAAGTAGGGGCTGATTGCTCCTTGGGTTGCCCAGGAGTGCAGTCTACTCACTGCCCCTCTACCATAATCTCCCCATAGCCTACATCTGCTCCAACCAGATAATGGGCTGGGGTGAGAAAGCCATTGAAATCCGCTCTGTGGAGACAGGCCATCTGGATGGGGTCTTCATGCACAAACGAGCCCAGAGGCTAAAGTTCCTGTGTGAGCGAAATGACAAGGTGGGAGTCTCTTTCTCTGCCAAAAGAGCCCAAATCCCTGGGCTGGAGTGGCTCCCACAACCCTGAGCCCTGGGTAGAAATCTGGGGGGAGGGGATGGTTCTGGTGTCTTCCTGAAAGTGACCCCTCCAGAAGCACAGTAGCATAGTGTGCAGTCACAACCTCCACCCTTCCTTCCCTTGGGTTCTGAGATCCCTCCAGCTGCCTACACTCAGGCATCTGGTAGCATACCTCTGCCTTTCACTGGGGCTGGGGGAGGCACCCTGAGTCTCATTGTATAGTTTCTCTGACTTCCTCTTTCCCTTTCAATTAAAACTCAAACCCCATATCCCACCTTTGATGACAGCTTCTCCTACCCCCACACAGGTGTTTTTTGCCTCTGTCCGCTCCGGGGGCAGCAGCCAAGTTTACTTCATGACTCTCAACCGTAACTGCATCATGAACTGGTGATGGGCCCTGGGCTGGGGTTGCCCTACATGGACCCAGCTCTGCCTCCACAGCCAGACTTCCCAGGCTGCCCCTATTTCCCCTCCCTGGGCTTTTGCTTTTACTGGTTTGATTCACTGGAGCCTGCTGGGAACGTGACTTCTGATCCCTGATGCTTTTGTGATCACGTGACCATCCTTTTCCCCATGTTCTGTCCCCAAAACTGTGCCTGTCCCCATCTTCTGGGGAGGGATACAGCTTCCCCTTACCAGAAATTGAGTGGGCCTCGCTCCTCCCCCTTTCTCCACTTAAGAGGAGAGTGCTTGGGGTTGGACCCTTTACCCCATTGCTGCTGACTGGGCAGGGCCCTGGACCCCTTTATTTGCACGTCAGGGGAGCCGGCTCCCCCCTTGAATGTACCAGACTCTGGGGGGGGGTCACTGGGCCTTAGGTTCTAGGGGGTCACCAGCCACTCCAGGGGCAGGGACCATTTCCTCATTTTTCTGAAAGCACTTTAATGATTCCTCTCCCCCCAAGCCCCAGGGAATGGAGGGGGGACCCCCGCCAACCAAAACATTCCTCCCTTTCCAGTCCCCATCTCTTCTAGCCTCTCCCCTGTGGAGGGAAGTAGCAGGGAGCTCTTGCCCTCCACACTCCCATGCTTGCATCTGTATATAGTGTGAGCAGTAAGTAGCCCTTCTCCTCCTTTCTCTGCCCCTCCTCAATGTAGTGGCCTTGGATATCCCGTTTGTTAATAAAGACAGTTCAACCAGCTCCCACCATTTCAGGCCCCTATTGTTTTCTCTAATTATCGTTTTCTCTAATTATCCTCGATCCCAGCAGAGAGAGCCTGCAGAGTTGGGACAGAAGGGAGTGGGGGGGGGTTGTGTGTGTGTGTGTGTGTGTGTGTGTGTGTCTGTCTGTCTCTAGATGTGATGGAGAGAGGGTCAACTTGTGGGTGACCTTCATGGAGGATATTTGGTTCCCGCCCAGAGAAGCACAGGTCCTGCAAACAGGTTTCCTGACGTTTCTAAGTGTATAAAAGCCACTTAGAAACCCATAAGGGTAGAGAATCACTGGGGCTGGCAGGAGGTCCACAAGGATGAACTAAAGACAAGCCTTGCTGTCTGGGTTGGCACGGAGGGCCTGCCCAAACAATTCATTCTCTACTTTTGCTGACCCTGGTCAGGGGCCAGACCTAGGCACATGGATATGTGCAGTTCCTCTTTGGAAGTTCACAAAGGAGAGTACTGTCAACAGAGGGAAGGGATTATACAGTAGACAGCAGCTTGTTTTTTTTCAAAATCTATTTCCTTCTGGAGGTGAGTGAGGAAACTGAAGTGAACACAGGTTCAAGGCTGGATACACGGCGGGTAGGGGAGGTCCGGCACTCGGTTGAAGTAACCCCCCAGGAAGATGAGGCTGGAACCGACGCTGAAGAGGACCAGAGCAGCCCAGAAACAGATGTTGTCAAGAGCCTTCCCCATGCGCACCCAGTCGGACACCTCCTAGGGAAGGGACAGTGAAGCTGAGTTCTAACGAGAGCTAGGAGCGCAGGAGGCAGTGGAGAGAGGGGCTCCATAGCGCCCACCCTCCCTTTGGCTCCTAACCTACCTCGCCGGTGGCCTCCTGGTCTCTCGTGCTCTCGGCCACAAAGTTCACAGCATCCACACAGCAACGTATCTCAGGGGCTGCAGCGCCCAGACTCTGGCAGAGGGCAGCTAGGTAGAGAGCACACTAGGCCTGGGTCATTAAGAGCTTCCCCTATTGCAGGTGCCCCTCTTGGCCCGCCCGGGGCACTTCTCACCGGTCCAGGTCCCGTGCCGGTGCCGTTGCCCCTCAAACACCAGCTCGCTCCGCGGCTTTTTCAGGATCAGCTCCTCTGCGCGGAGCAGTAAGCCCACAGACGACGCCCGCCTTGGCGGCGAGGTGGCCCGGGGCGCGTCCGGGAGCTGGCCTGAACCCAGCAGGCGCGGCAGTAACTCCAATAAAACCTAGCGCGGGGGCGGGGATCAGCTCGAAGCTCCTCCTCCCAACCCCGCGCTCCCCGCATTCCCGCCCCACTCCGCGGCTCTCACGTGGCGCAGCCGCGGGGATGTGGCATGAGTTGTGGGCGTCCGCAAAGACACGTTGAGCACAATGACGCAATTCATGACAATGAGAGTAGCAACCACCATGACGAAAATAAGATACCTGAGGAATCCGGAATGCACTGACGTCACAGCATCCCGATTTCTCTGACGTCACCACCTCTCCACTCCCTCCCAGTCGAAGAACACGCTAATGTAGTCCTCTGACCTCACAAACACACCTCTCCGCAAGGGGTGGAGTTACGCCCCCTAGCTGCTCCCCTCAGCGAGGCCGGAGGCTCCCCGGCCCTTCTGTCCCTCCTAACATCTGCCGCAGTCATGAAAGGGACGCCCAGCAGCCTGGACACCCTGCTATGGGTCTACCACTTCCACAGCTCCACCGAGGTGAGGCTACGAAGACGGCCCACCCAAGGACAGCATTTGAAGACCCGCTGGAGAGGTCTCCAGTGCCCCCAGCTGTGACCCTTGCCCTGTGACTCGACGACTCCACAACTCTTCTTTTCCAGGTGGCCCTCCAGCCCCCGCTTCTCTCTTCCCTGGAACTTGCTGTGGCCGCGGCCCATGAATATCTAGAGCAGAGGTTCAGACAGCTGAAGGCCCTGGAGCCGCAGGAGCCACCAGAACCCGAGCATCCGCCCTCCCCGAAGCCCACCCTAAGGCTGGTGCTAAAAGAAGCCGCGGCCAGCATTATGAGCTTCGGTGCCACCTTATTAGAGGTATGGCGGTAGGGGGCTCTGGGGAGGGGTTAACGAGAAAATGGGGAGGGGACAAGGGCAGAGAGAGCAGGGACCTCGCACCCTCATGTGTGCCTGTGTCCCTAATGCAGATCTCAGCTCTATGGCTGCAGCAGGAGGTGCGGCGACTAAAGGGTAGCGACAGAGGCCCGGGTCTAACCCCACACGCCGGGGATCCGGGTGGAGCGCTGACCCGGGTAGCCCTGGCTGCCGGGCAGGGGGCTTGGCAAGCTAAGGCTACAGCGGGCGCCAGCGCCCGGCTCCTGGTCCAGGGGGCGTGCCTGTGCCTGTGTGGACGTGGTCTGCTGGAATCCGCCGCATTCCTGCAACAATGGCGACGCCAGCTGGGCCTTGCAATCCCCGGGGAACTGGTGAGTTCGGGATAGGAGGGTAGGGAGGAGGCCAGAGGTGGCGGCGCTTGGGAGACATTGAGCCGGACTATTCTCTCAACAGAAATACTCAGGAGATCTCAAGGTGGCGTCCAGCAGCAGTGAGGAAGACGGGGGACCAGAAACATCATCATTGGCCCAGCCCCACCCCGAGTCCAAATAAAGCCCAGGAGGGAATGAGACAGCCAAAGCTCCTCCTAGAGCCGCTTGGTTTGGGCCGCGCCCTTACCCATGGCCGCCCTTTGGCTCCGCCCCCATCCCAGTCTGCCCCTCCCCCATTAGCCCCACCTCGGCGTGGGCAATGTCAGGACTCACTCTGCGGTTACCTGCCTAGCAGAGGCACGCTCAGAGACGTCTCTGGAATTTTCTGGGCAATCAGGAACAAGAAAACGGTCTGGGCGAGCAGGACGTTGATAGAGACGGTGCATTTCTGGCCGCCGGCTGGAGGGAGCACCCAGTGAGACCTGGCCCGGACCGCGGGGGGCTAGCTCAGGGTTTAGGGTTGGGGCCACTCCTTTTACCCTGCGCCGGCAGGAAGTAGGCGAGCAGCACTAGGCCAGAAATAAGCACGCAAGGCACGATGATGTTAATGACGTAGAAGAGCGGCTTGCGGCGGATGATGAGCATGTACATGACATCAGTTTCCTCCTGGCTGTCAGCGGGGCCTCTGTGGTAGCGGCGGATCACCCCAGGACAGAAGTCGATGGCCCACTCGCCGTTCTCTGCAAAACAAGAGGCACAGTCAGCCTGCTCTTGGAGGCCAAGCACCCTGAGCGCTGGCTACACACTTGATCAGGGGAACCTCTAACTCCAGGCGGAGGAGAATGTAGCTGCCTGGGTCAGGATGGACTGCTTGGATGGGGACAGGAGTGGGGGAAGCACGGGCAAAAAAGGGCATTCCTGGTGAGGATATGAAAAAAACCACAATCAAGTAGACAGGACTAGTGTGACAATCGAGTTATTTCAGAAGAGAAGTTTAATCCTTGGTATTCGTGGTCTGGGGCAGGCCCACTCTGAAAGTCCCCTAATTTGGACCTCGTCTAGAACGGCTTTTTTTTGGGGGGGGGGGTCGGAGCAAGAGAGAGCTTCACCAGTAAAGGCCTCAGTGTCGATTTCGATCTTATTGATGGTCTCGCCATTGTCATCTACCGCAAAGATGAACTCCACCTCTTCAGCATTGTAGGTCTGAGAGCTGTGGAATCAGGGCCAGGAGCCCCACCCCAGAAACTCGAACCTGGGCCCCTGCTCAGGTCTCACCCTAGAAGCTTGGATCTAGCCAAGTAGTAAGACTCCACTCCTTTGTTCAGGACCCGCCTGCACGCCTCTGTTTCCACCCCTACTTTGTTTTTGTCCTTGTTTTGAGACAGATTCTCACCATGTTGCCCAGGCTGCGCTTGAACTCCTGGACTTAAGTGATTTATTCCACCCCCACCCCCCCCTCCACTCCCCCAGCTGGGACTACAGGTCGGAACTTCAGACTGGAATGACAGATGGCTGCCACCAGGCCTGGCTCCACCTCTACTTCCAACGGGCTCCAGTGGCCCACCCCATTCTTGAGGCTGGCCCCACCTCCAGCCAAGTCCCGCCACAGGGACTGGCTCCCCACCCCCTGCTCCAGGCCCTTCTCACAGTCCTCAAGCTTCTGAGCAACTCTTCCCACCGGAAAATAAGGGAGCAGTTCTGCCAGTCGAAGGGAAAGTAGGTGACCTCCATGGCGCAGGTGCTCCGGTAGATGGCCGGGGGCAACCAGGTCACGTAGCCTCCGGCGGAGACCAGCACGTTGCACTCGTAGGCTATGCCGAACTGGCCGTCAATACTGTGGGCTCGGGGAAACCGAGCTTTTCACAGGTCCACACCTCGGTCCAAGCACACCCTGCCCCCTTTCCGCGCCCCGACCAGGTCCACCCAAGCCACCTCAAGCAGGCTTCCCTGCAGCCTGGCGTCCCGACCCGTCCTCACTTGTTCTCCAGCACTATCTCTGGCAGCCAGACGAGTTCAGAAGGGACCCGCAGGGTTTCTATGCCCCCAAAGTCGTCCTTGCTGTAGTTGAGTCGGTAATCGTGCCAATCCTGAGAGAAGGGGAACAGAAGGACTTGTGCCCTCTCTCTCCCATCTGCTGCTTCCGGGGAGTTTGGGAGAGGGGTCCACTGAGGAAGACCTCAAGTGCTCCCTAAATTTGACTCACAATTCCAATCCAGACGTTGGTAGTCAGAGTCTCCTCCTTCTCGTTCTGCATTTGGGAGCCCGAGTGACAGAAGTGGGATTCAAGGCCAGAAGTGAGCATAAGGATGCAGCCCAACACTCGGGGCCAGACATGGGATTTCAGGCTCAGGATGGGGGCATCTTACCAGTGAGATGAGGTTAGTCAGGGTGACCTTAAGGGTGATGGTGACAGTGTCCTCAGGCTCCCTCACAGGCCGGGATTCAGGGTCATAGTTGTCGAAGAGGTGGTGGTAAAGTCTCAGCTCCTCATTGTTGCCCTTACCTCTGCCTGCCATGGGTCGGGAAGGAAGGGTCAGTGGACATGAAGAGGCCAGAGGACTTCTCTCTCTGCCCCTCTGCACAGACCCCCCTGAGTAGCTTTCTATGTCTGTCTTCTGAACCAACAATATTGCACCTGGAGACCAACCATTGCGTCTCAATCCACCTCTTTACCCTTCGTGTCAGCTATCTGTGTTAGCTATCTGTGTTCATTTGCCTCCCTTGACCCATCCCCACCGAGGAGCCAAGAGAGAAGCAGGGCACCAAGCAGAGTCCCTGCCATCCTGCTGTCTGGTTCTCCGGGTTATTCTGAGCTTTGGCAGGCTTGGAGGGTGGCAGGCTAAGGTGCATGTGTGAGGGGGAGGAGGGTGTTAGTTCCGGGCTAGGTTAGGGGACTGTCACCTAATCCTTCATCCACCACTGCTGCAGCTGGGGTCATTTTGGCTGCTTCCAGAGGCAGCTGCCCTATCCTGTGTTCTCTGCCCCACCCAATCCCAGCATCCTTTGCCTGGTCTTCAGCCAGTGCCCCAGCCGCAGAGCTGATCTCTTAGGAGAGGAGCAGGCCTTTAATATCCTGCAGCAGGGATGGGAATCTTGCTTCCAATACGCACTGTTGTCCTTTGAGTAAGCTGCCCTATGGAGGTCACTCTGCCTGATGAACACATCTGGGAACATGAACACTCTTTGTCTCCCATATCCATCCACATGGAACACAGCTATCATCCCCCACAACCGGCCAAGGTCCACTAATGCAGCGTCTGCCAGCAGAGTTTGGCAAAAACAGTCTCCACAAAGACCTGGTCATGAGACAGGTGGTCACAAGAGATTAGTCTGCAATAACACACTCCACCTGGCAAAACCATGAGGAAATACAAGGCCCAACTCCTCTGACAACCGGATCCCCTGGCCTGCCCACCCCCATCCCCTTTGGAATGTGAGCCAGATTCCTTTCTCCTTGCCTCTTGCTGCTGCCACCTTGTGGTCACCGATGATAGTACTGTCTTCCCAACACCAGTCCCCCAAATACACACTTTTTTTTCTTTTTTTTGAGACAAGGTGTCATTGCCTTAACTCCAAGTACTGAGATTACAGATGTGTGCCACCAGCCACCATGCTAAGCTTGTTCATTGTTTCTTAAAGTCTTGAACTCCAGTCACCTGGGGTGCTAATTTAAAATGCAGACCCCAAAGCTCTATCCCCAAAGAAAAGTGACTTAGGAAGATGGCAGAGATGGATGCCAGGCATCCATATTTTTAAAAAGCTTCCAAGCCAGGTGCTGGTGGTTCATATCTGTAATTCTAGCTACTTGGGAGGCTGAGATCAGGAGCGTAGGGGTTTGAGGCCAGCCCAGGCAAACAGTTCTTGAGATCCCATCTCCAAAATAACCAGAGCAAAATGGATTAGAGGTGTGCCTCAAGGAGCAGAGCACCTGCTTTGTAAGCGCAAAGTACTTGTTCAAACCCCAGTCCCACCAAAACAAAAGCTATCCAGGTATTTCTTGGGGTAGGAAGTGCAGGAATAAGCACTTCTTATGCCCTACACCTCACTTCCTCACCCCAATCCACAAAGCAATTACTATTGTCCTGAATTTGAGAAAGAGGACTCTTAAGATCAAGGTCCAAGGTAACACAAATAGATTGGCAATAATGCATGAGACTCTTGAATCAACTTTTATCTATCATGTACACCTCTTCATTTTACACTTCACAAAACTCCTGTCCATTTCTGGGTCTCCTTCCTCTACTTGTGAGGTCTCTCATAGCTGCCTCCATGTGACAAGTGAGGACATCAAAGTCCAGGGTGTCCATGTATCCTTGTGTCCATTTCCCAAACATCCTTGAAGCCTCGGCTTCCACTGCTAACTGCCCATCATTCCATGCTCCTACTGCAGACCCCCGGAAAGAATGTGCAGGACCCTGCTCACTCCTGGCATGTGGATTGACGTTGGATCTGTGCTGCTGCTATTCCATGGCTTCTAGGTGAGGGCCTCGACCAAGAGTAGTTGTGATAAATGCAAATATTTATTCAACATTAATAGGCAACTGCAAGGTTCCCCTCAAAACCCCACAAGCTATGATTATTGCAACAAAACAAGACATGTCTCAAGGACTTATCAGCTAACGGGCAGACCTACGGACAGACAGCGACACTACAACTGTGAAGAGAGTAAAACCCAGGAGCAATGGAAGCTCTTGGGAGTGTGACTCAGATCTGTCTTAAGCACAGTGAGAGCTCCTATGGGTTCCTGTGAGCTTCCACAGGGACTGGAACACGCTGCACTGGACCACTGTTCAAGTTCAGGGCAGTGATGAGGGCAGGCCAGGCCCCTGCCTCTCCTGTCTGCTGCTCTGTCTGCACTGTGCTACTCTACTGACCAGCTTGCCTTATGCTTTACTCTGTGCATCCCCTTTCTCCTGTACAGTTTTTGGTGGTTTGTATTTGTTTGTTTGTTTTGGTGGAACTGCGGTTTGAACACAGGACTTCCTGCTTGTAAAGCAGGCACTCTACCGTTTTAGCCACACCTCCAGTCCATTTGGCTCTGTTTATTTTGGAAATGGGGGTCTTTTGAACTGTTTGCACAGGCTGGCCTCTAACTGCAGTTCCCCAGATCTCAGCCTCCTAAGTAGCTAGGATTACGAGTGCCCAGCTCCTGTGAAGTTTCTGCCTTCTCACAACTTCTGCATCATTCACCATGGTTGGCACCCTAAATTGACTTCTTGGCTTCTCTCTGCAGTCAGTTCAGCCTTTGCTACCATCACCACCTGTGGAATGGCATCATGGCCAGGGATATAGACACCAAAGGGTCTTAAGCCTAAGATTGTCCCATTAGCACACAGGCAGGAGGATCACAAGTTTTAGGGTTGTAAATATGAAGGCAGACCTTATCTCAAAAAGCCAATTGAAAAAGAAAAAAGGAAGGAAGGAAAGAGAAAGAAGGAAGGAAGGAATGAATTATCCCATTTGCCAAGGGAGAGGTTGTGGCAGGCTCTACAATTGGCCACAGGTTTGGTGCCTTCTACCCATTACCAACCCGGCCTGCTTCCTACATATTTATTTCCCCAAACATCCTGTCCTGTCCTGATCCATTTTCACTCCTACAACCAAAACTTCACTCTATTGTCCCCAGTAGAACTGAAACTTGAAGTCTTGCTTCCAAAAGTAATTGTGGCAGGAGCCCTTCAAAAAAAAAAAAAAACTCTACCACTTGGAGTGGCTCAAGTGGTAGAGCACCTGCCTAGCAAGCTGAAGCCCTGAGTTCAAGTCCCAGTACCACCCAACAAACAAATAAAAAGAACTCAACCCAGAGTCTAGTGTCATTTAGTTTAAGTACAACCTCCCCAAGCGACTCTCCAAATGATGGGCTAAATCCTAAACTTCTCCGTCATAATCACATCCTGTATAAACAGCACATCACACACACCTCACATCATATAACACAAAATAGTAGGCAAAACTACTCTTGGACCACCAGCCTGGATATAAGAGAGTTGTTTGGGGGTGCAGAGACAGTGAGTAGAAATTCTTATCCCTTGATCCCTAGACACATGGCTTTTTTTGTTGTGTTTTGTTTGAGATAGAGACTCACTATTTAGCTCAGGCTAGTCTTGAACTCTAATCCTCCTGCCTCAGCCTCCCCAAATGCTAGGATTATAGGCATGTGCTACCACATCCAGTGATCCCTAGACATGCGGATGGTCCCAGACGTAGGTCACATTGGACAAAAGAGCACTTTGTTGTAGAGTTCCTGGCTGGGGCTAGGACTTGTGGGTGAAGGTCTTGTTCAGACCAGTGGATCCCACAGCTCCTCCAGAGTCAATACATCCGGACTCCTTTACCCGGAGGAGTCTCCTAGAGGCCTCTTTCCACTGGCTGACCTCACTCCCGAATCCACTCCTGCTACTCTTGGGAGCAGAGTCAATGATAACCTGAGCATCTGAGACACTGCACCCAGATAGGGGAGTCAGGCACAGGCCTGTGAGCCCGGCTGGCATTTGTATTTGTATAATGAAAATTCCACAGAACCTTAGTGGACTGTCTGACCATTTTGTTTCTGGAGCCGCCTTGACTTATAAGCTAGACCCAGAGATCTTAGCTGAACAGGAAGCCACTCCTTTCACCAACTGCTCTTGGCTGGCAACTTGGAACAACTGCAGCTGCTCTTAGTGACATGACTGACACTTCAGGGCCCAGGAAGTAGAAATATCCCCAGCCGGTCTGACGAGGGCCCCCTCTGCACCCAGCATAAGCATTGCTGCTCTTTCTTTTGTGAATAGGAGAGATAGGTTTGACCAAGCCAAAGCAGTGTCCAGTGTACACTAATTGCTCCACACTTCCTTCACTGGACCCAAGATGATGCCTGAGGCTTGCTGGCTGGCTGTGTTCAAGGCTCTTCATCCAGAGCCTCTCAATACAGATGCTTGAGGACTATGCAGTGGACAAATGACCATGAGTCCTTTATCTCCCAGCACCCTACCTTCTACCGGGAGCTCTACTGACCACTTAGTGACCCCACTCCCTGGCCAGAGTTGTTTGGTTTCCTGACAAGGCCAAGTTCTTCCCTGGGAATTCTGTGAAGCAGAAACTTTGGAAGGCAGCTGTCTCTCTCTGCTGCCACAGACAGGAAACTTAGATGCACCAGGCAGCTGTGTTCATTCCTCTCCTTTATGTGGAGGAGACAAAGTACTGCTGATACACAAAGACAGGTAGAGACAAGAAAGGGCCTTCAACATTCCAGCCCCTGGGCCCGGAAATTCCTAAGGCCCAGTCCTTCTAGTCTCTTCCAACAGGCCAGTTGCCCAACACTTCCTTTTGTTGAATGAGGTACCTTAGCATCTTCCCAATAAATCTGCCTTTTCTTGGTTTAAAAATCTTAGACTTCTAGGACTTGGGTATAGCTCAGTGGCAGGGTGCTTGCCTAGCATACATAAGGTCCCGGGTTCACTCCCCATCACTGCTGGAAAAGAAAATTAGGATTAAAAAAAAAAATACCATCAGATCCCATGACACAATACCTAGAAAAATCCTCCTGACAATATGTAGGTAATATGTGGCTGGAAGCATAGCTCAGGTGGTAGAATGCCTACCCAGCAACCTTTGAGTTCAAACAGCAGTACCACAAATAATACGTGAACCACGTGTGCTTGGGGTTCAGGAGGCTGAGGCAGGAGGAATTGGAGTTTGAAGCCAGCCTGGGCTATATTGTCAAACTCCATCTTGGAGACAAAAAAAAAGCAGGGGGAGATTTTGTGTGTGTGTGAGATAAAAGGATGTGTGTATGAGGAATACTCTTCCTATTCACATTAATACTCTTATCAGCAATATTTAATATCTATACTCTTCATAGCCAAAGTGAAAAAAATCACTTTTTTAAAAAGTAAATGGAACTGGGTGCCAGTGGTTCATGCCTATAATCTGACTTATTCAGGAGGCCAGCCTGGACAAATAGTTCAAGAGATCCCATCTTGAAAATACTCAACACAAAAAAAGTCTGGCAAAGTGACTCAGGTGGTAGATCACCTGCCAAGCAAGCATGAGGCCCTGAGTTCAAACTCCAGTATCACCGAAAGAAGAGGAAATAGAAATGAAAAGTGGACTACCACTTTGGAGAGCTGACAGTTTCCTGTAATGTTAAGTGTGCATTTTCCCCATGACCTAGGAATTCCATTTCCAGATAGTTATTCAAGGAAAAGGAGAATATGTGCCTACAAAAGATTTGCCCACAAATATTCACAGCAGCTTTACCGATAGTACCCCAAGTAGAAATAACCCAAATACTCATCAACAGGATTACTGATATGCTGTCATAGACCCTACATCTGAATATTACTCGGCAATGAAAAGAAACACTGACAGTGCTTGCTTTGACAGCACACACACTAAAATTGGAATGATACAGAGAAGATTAGCACAGCCCCTGTGCAAGGATAACATGCAAATTT